AACAAAATTGTTATGGCTGGAGGTTAGTGGTTAAATTATTTTGTTTCCGCAAATTTCCATGAATATATGAACATGTATATAAATAATGATGTGAAAATATACATGTTGATCTTGAGTGATTTACATTGCTGGTATTAACAAAAACAGTATCCAGGAAGTGTTGTACTTGATCATTTAGAAAACCAAAGACGAGCCAAATTTTTCTTAAACCTCAAGTTTAGGATAATAAGCCTTAATAAATTTATTTATTTATTTGAAACAGGGTGTCCAGACCAACTTATACATGTTATTAGCATTTGAGATTCGAACTTGAAATTGTGTGTCTTAACTATACATCCCAACGCTCGTCCTACTACTTGAGCTACCCAAGGGTGGGTAATATATTGATTTATGTTGATTACATGTTATGAGAAGGAGCATGGGGTGAAGTCTTGATAATTGTATAAACCAACATTTCAATGCTTATAATTAACTTGTTAAGACAATTAATACGGCCTTTAATATAACTAAAATTTCTAGTTGAGGTAATTACATAAGCCCGTTTAATCAAATATGTCAATCAAAGAATTATATTTCATTTAATGTCTTTAAATATTTCATTTCCTTTTTATCCCGTTCTCCACATTAATACGAAATCCATACAATTAAGGAAACATTCTTAATTACCGTAGTGCCCTTAGAAAATATTTGCTGCTAAAGTTGGACACTGTGATTAGAGAGATTAATAGGTGATAAATTGATAATTCATTAAACTTAACTAGGTTTCCATACATTTACCATAATGCCCCTTATAATTGAAATTTAGTGATAAAGAAAATTTTTACTTTCAACTGATAAGAGTATTAATAATTTTTTTTTTAAATGAGAAAATCAAAATGATGACACATGTTTATGAAAACAATTAAAAAGAAATACAAATTTTCAAAAAGACAAAAAAATGACACTTAACTGTATAAAATGTTAAATTTAACAAAAAAAAAAAAAAAAAGAGCTATCATATGAAAAAGTCAATTATACCCTCAGTAATTAGATGATATTGACTATTATGATGGTTTCAAAATATACAAAATGACTATTCAACCCTTTTTAATTGATAAAATTCAAAAATTAAAAATTAAAAACTTTTTAAATTAATTGATTTTACTTTGATTGGGTAGTTGGGCTGTTTTCTAGCATGTCCAATGGCTCTCCTCTTTTTTTTCGCAAGACATAATATAATTAATAATTAATATAATATCTTATTATTATTATTATTAAATATTAAATATTATTATTATTATTTATCTTATAAACTTCTTCCTAAAAAAAAAAAAAAAATAATGATTGACTTTCTGCAAAGAAATTAGATTAAAGGAGAAGGGAAACACCCTTAATTGGACCACATATTATTTAAAAATTTCTTATTTATTTCCTATAATATATTGAATTACAAAAACACCCTTATAGCCAATTAAGTTAAACGAACTTGGGCTATTAAGTGACCCTTAACTTTGTATTGTGAAACTCGTTGTCTTTTTGTGATTGTTTGTAAAAAAAACTGACACCAAATTGATAATCTCCGCTATGATTAATGTATTGATTTATGTTGAGTAGATGTTATTGTTTTAAGAGCAAACGACATGATCCCACCGAAGTTTGGGGAAATCCCAAGTTGATACCCCTGGTTCAATTTATCCTATTTTACCACTCTTAACTAACATCGTTCGGTTGGTTTCAATATCAAAAGGGTAAAAACGACATTTAAGACAAATTAAATTCAAATAATAAAGAAGCTTGGGGAAATGTTGCAAAACGTGTGGAGGATAATGTATGATGGCTGGAGTTATTGGAGAAGTCAGGGCCAAAAAAAAAAAAAAAAAAAAAATCTTTGAACACTCTTACACTTTCTCTTTCAAACAAAAATGCGGATTTTTTTTTTTCTGAAAAATTAACCCACAAAACTCATCGCCTGTGCAACAAAAATCGTAGTCATTAATCCCTCTGACCTTCTTCCCATCCCATGGTTGAACTCGTAAGCTTACCAGACACAGATATAGTCTCTCACTACCGCTTTGACTCCCAAACAAGATAAACAAAATCAATATTCCAATGAATATCCTTATTTCCTCATCATCCTTCTAGCTAATGCTCTCCCTTTCAGGCCTTACCGAATCCTTGCTGCTTGGTTTTTCTACTTTGACTCCCAAACAAGATGAACAAAATTAGTCGTACGCTTATCATCTTTGTCAGTGGCATTTGGCGAAAACTGTAAACTGGTGAACACGAAATGACAACCAAACCCAGACCCATTAACCTGAAACCACTGTACCGATCGCATAGAAATAACCTTTGGAGGAATACGAGCCATCAACGAGAAGAGAATTCTTGCTAGCTAGAGGAAGACGAACAACGACTAAAGAAAGACGACAATTCGAGGAGAATGACGATATGGCGACGTGGTCTGCGGCAAGGTATATCAATAGTTGATTTACGTATTTTTTGTATATGGTTTGTGCTAGAGTTTTTTTGTGGATTGGTTTTTTGGTTATTTTTGTGTGTTTGGTGGTGGTGTACTGGTGTTAGGGTTGTGGTGGTGGTGTAAGGGTGGTTATTGGGTGGTGGTAGATGGATTAGTGGTGCGTGTTTGCTGGTTCAATAGGGGTATGTTGGTGGTCGGTTGGTGATGATGATTGTATGATGGCGTTAGGGTGGTGGTAGGATGGTGATAGTGGTAGTAGGGGGCTTTAGGATTAGGGTTAGGGTTTTGGTGTAGTGGTGGTTTAGGATATTGGTGTTGCATGGCAATGTTAGTATTGGTGGTGGTATGTGTATGGTGGTATAGTGGTGGTACAGTTGATAGTGGTGTTAGGGTGACTTTCGGTATATTGGCTAGAAACTGTCTTAAAATCTACCTAGCAGTGGTTGACAACTTTTGGTGTAACAATGCCACGTACCTAGGGTGGTGATGGTAGGGTGGTGATGGTGGTAGTAGGGGGCTTTAGGATTAAGGTTAGGGTTAAGGTTTTGGTGTAATGGTGGTTTAGGATATTGGTGTTGCATGGTAGTGTTAGTATTGGTGGTGGTGTGGTACAGTGGTGGTAAAGTTGATGGTGGCATTAGGGTAATTTTTGGTATATTGGTTGGAAACCAGTAACCATCTTAAATGCTGCCTAGTAATGGTTGACAACATCTGGTGTAATAATGCCATGTACCTTGGGTGGTGGTTTGGTGGTGGTAGGGTGGTAATGGTTGTTGTAGGGTGGTGGTAGTTGATTTTTTGTTTATAATTGTTTGGTTGTGTTTGTTTATACAGGTTGAAACCAAATTCCTATGACTTTAAAGTTGAAGTGTTTAGTTTAGAATATGATATAATAAATGTCGATCTGGATGAGTATAGTTACATATGTTTTATTAAAGATGTGAAATGATGTGTGGCTTCGGAGAATGAGGTTGTCGAAATGAACCCTTATGAGAAGTTTAAGGCAGAGGTTGAGCTACCTAGGGGCTAGATACGTAGTGGAAAGGGATGATGATATGGAATTCATATTTGAGCAATATAAGAGTTTTGGCAAGCGAGTGATAAAGGTCTATGTAGAAGCCATACTAGTGAACTTTGTTGAACCTAGAACTTTATTAGACGCCCAACCAGAGGACAATGAGGGTTTTTTTAGGCAGGATAATGAGAAAGATGAAGAGGGTATTCTAGATGAGTTCCACTAGAGTGTTGAAAGTGATCATGAAGAAGACCATGAGAGTGGGCAAGATGGGCAAGGAAATGGGGTGGTTGAGGGAATAGAAATTGGACAAGAAAGTGGGGTGGTAGAGGGAATTGAAATTGGGCAGGGAAGTGGGGTGGTAGAGGGAATTGAAATGGGGTAGGGAAGTGGTGGGGTAGAGGGAAATCAAACCGGGCAAGGAAGTGGTGGGGTTGAGGACATTGAAGTTCAAGGGGAAATGTCTAAATACCATGAGGACAGTTTATATAAAGGGTCTACTGATGATGAAAATGCAATAACTAGTTTTACCAAGCACATGAAGAGTCAACAGTTTGCATATGGGGATAATAGGAAAATCCACTTCAAAGTTGGTCAAATGTTTGAGGGAGTTGATCACTTTAGGAAGGTATTTTGAGATTATGTAATTCAGAGGGGGTTTTCTATTAGGAAGATTCACAATGAGAGAAGAAGATTTAAGGCCAAATGTAAGCAGCAAACTGTTACTTTGATGCCTGATGATGTGTCTTTTCAGATTAGGAAGTATAGGCACATATAAAGGGTCTATACTGATGATGAAAATGCAGTAACTAGGTTTAACAAGCACATAAAAGGTCAATAGTTTGCATATGAGGATAATGGGAAAATCCACTTCAAAGTTGGTTAAGTGTTTGAGGGAGTTGATCACTTTAGGAAGTTGTTTTGAGATTATGTAATTCAGAGAGGCTTTTCTGTTAGGAAGATTCACAATGAGAGACGAAGATTTAAGGCCAAATGTAAGCAGCAAATTGTTACTTTGATGCTTGATGATGTGTCTTTTCAGATTAGGAAGTATAGGCACACACATACATGCACGAAGGTTTATAATAATAGAGAGGCAACAAGTGCTTGGGTGGCTAGAAAAATGGGAGACTTCATCAAATCCCAAAAGGGTTCATCAATTAAGCCATTGGTAGACACATTGGGTAAGAAACACTATCTACAGTTGTCTAGATCCAAACTTTATAGGGCTAATAAGTTGGCAAAGGTGAGGTCAGACAAGCTCCATGCAGAGTCTTTTGTTGGTTTGTTGAAATATGATCACATTGTCAAACATACCAACCTAGGTTCCATGTATAATGTGAAATATGTTAGTCCAGAAGGGGTCCAAACTTTCAGAGGTGTTTCTTAGGCTTTGTAGCACAAAAAAAAAAAAAAAAAAAAAAAAAAAAAAAAAAAAAAAAAGGGTTTTATAAGGGTTTGTCGCATTTTATAGGTGCGGATGGGTGCCATCTTAAAGGGCCTTATGGTGGAGTGCTATTGTCAGCAATGGCTATGGATGCTAACAATGGCATTTTCCTAGTAGCAATTACCATTTGTGAGATAGAAAACAAGGAATCATGGAGATACTTTATGACCTTGTTAAAGGAGTTTATAGGGGACATTGACCTTATCACTATCATAAGTGATAGACAGAAGGGTTTGGTTGATGTTATACAGACCTGTTGGTCAAATGCTAGTGCTAGATATTGTGCTAGGCATGTTTATGCTAACTTTAGGAAAAAATTCCTTGGGCTGAGGAATTTGTTTTGGGCTGTTAGTAGGGTTTCCAATATCATTGATTTTCAGCAGGCCATGGAAAAGGTTGAAGCTGTAGATAGAGAAGCTCATAGGTGGATGATTGAAAATGATGTGAGATCCTGGTCAAGGCATTCATTCGACCTTGATTCCAAATCCGATCATGTTACAAATAACATGTGTGAGGTCTTCAATAGTTGGTTGGGAGAGAATAGAGAATTACCCATACTAAGCTTGTTAGAACATTATAGGAGGAGGGTTATGGTACAGATGCAAGCTAGGGCAAATGCTAGGAATGATTGGATCACAACTGTTCCCCCTACTGTACATAGGAAAATCAATGGTCTAATTGAATCTGCTAGGAATGTTAAAGATATTTGGCCTGGGAGTGATGAGTTTGAAGTGGTGGATAACAACTGCCTTTTCAGTAGATGTTACATTTAAACCTTCAATCTCAAACTTGTGACTACGGAATGTGACAACTTTCTGGAGTCCCTTGTGTGCATGCAATCCGTTGTTTGCTTTTTAGGAACATTAGAAATATGGAGGATTATGTGGACTCTTCATTGAGGATCACTTCATACGTAAAAATATATGCTGATCACATTCACCCCATATCTGACCTACTTAGTTGGCCTGACTTGCTTGGGGGTAGGCAGTTGAATCCACCTATCAAACATAGTAAGGTTGGGGGAGCCAAAAAGGCCAGAAAAAAGGATACTGATAAAGAACCAAGGATGACCAAAGGTGCAACACTTAAGTTTGGGATCTGTTGAACTTTGGGACATAACAAGAGGAGCTGCCCACAAAATCATTCAAACAACAAGAATCAAAGGGTATTTTAAAGCTTTTATTTAACATGATTAGTATTGTTTTTGTAACAGAATTTGCTTGCATTAACATTTGTTGTCTTTGCTTTGTTTAGAGAGGGGAAGCTTCATCAGCCCCAACAAGTCAGACATGTCAACATTAAAGCAACTGTCAAGGGTAGCAGGTTAGTGCAACATCAGTCCTTCAAATTTTAACATTGTTACATTGCTTCAAACTATTAAGGGCAGCCCCTTAAATTGATTTTATGATTTTTTCAGATACTTTAGGAGTGTGGAGTTGAAGCATGCTATTGTTTTTTGGTGTGATAAAATTGTACAAGCATGATGTTGGTTTTTTTGGATGTGTGGACTTGAAGCATGCTGTTGTATTTTGGTGAAAGTTGCTGCTGTAGTATTTTGGTGAAATTTGGGGAAGTTGTACATACGACTTTGTTTGTTAGACTTGGTGTGCAAATATGGTGTGATAATAGTACAGATAACAATTGATTTAGGTTGTCCATTGTGAATGTTGTAACTAATTTAGGACTGCTGTAGTGGGTTTTTTAATGTAATATGCAGCTTCAATTTTCTATTTTTGGGCTGTTGATCATCACATTTCAAGGCCAAATTATGTATTTTTCATATATATGTTCAATGCAAAAGTTTTAATTCAGTATGTATGCTTGTAGTATGATCTCTGATGTTGGTTTTGTGTAGAATGTGTTTGTGTTCAAACTTGAAACTTTTCAGGATGTATGCCAATTTTTAAGAAATTTTACTTTGCCGTTATACAGATAAACCCTCAACATTCAAGCAATTGTTGCTAAACTTTCAAATGGTTTAGGGGCATTAGGGTAATTTCACTATATTTGAAAAATAAACTAAAGATAGGGGCATTTTTGGTTTTTTACATGTCTATTTAGTTTTTTATTTGCTAAATAATCTAAAGTCAAAGGTTCAAGGGTATTTTAGTCATTGCTACTTGCTATCACTATGTTAGACCCATCAGTTATTAATAGTGTTAGATTAAGGGTGGCAAAACGGGATAAATTGAACCAGGGGTACCAACTTAGGATTTCCCTAAACTTCGGGTGGGATTATGTCGTTTGCTCTTGTTTTAAAATAATGAAAAGAAGCATGGAAGAAGTCTTGATAATTTTATGAACTAACATTTTTAATGCTTATAATTAACTTGTTACGACAACCAATATGGCCCTTGATTCAACTTGAATTTCTACTACAGGCAGTAGTCAAAATTAGTAAATGAGCAAAATTATGCATATTTAGAAATTAGAGTTAATTAACATACCTCCCTTAAGGTTTCAACCTTTGACAGGCAGATATGAATGATCGTTTGGTTAATTCAAATGCCCCACTCCTTTGACTTCCGTTAGGGTTATTTCCATCACACACTCATTAACATAAAAAAAACTAGGGGTAGGCCAAATTTTAAGGTAGAATCAGAACCGACGGGTACCCGGGTGTCGATTATGATTCCTACTTAGAACCAGTTGTAACAGGGTAGGTTCCAGTTCCAAAAAAATGGAATCAATACTATACGGTTCTGGTTCTGGTTTCAAATCAAAGGAACTGGAACTGGAATTGGGACTAAATTAATATAATATTAAAGAATAAGGGTTTCTTTTTGATATTTTGCATATGGGGCTTTTTTTTTTTTTTTTTTTTTTTGATATTTACATACATATAAATATATAAGAAAATTTTGGTTTTTTTATCTAAGTATCAAATTCTTTAATTTTCATTAAAAATCAGTTTTCAATATTCTTATTAATATTTAGTTTCACTTATTACTTGATTAAATTAATATACATTAAGACATTTACGTTAATAATAGCTTTTAAATATTTATTATCGGTGAAACAAAACATTAATACTTATAATCAAGCATCAAACATCAAGTAAATATAAACAAATTATATTTAATGTTTTGCATTTAATTGTTAGGGTTGTATATAATTTTATAAGGGTTTATTTGTTATTTTAAAAAAAGGGGTAATTGATATTTTTCAGGGTACTCGGAATCTAAACGGAACCTGTGTTTAGGTTCCGGTTCCAAATTTTTAGGAACTGGAATGATTCCGTTTCTGTTCCAAATCAAGGAATCGATCAGTTCTAGTTCTGATTTCTTTGATTTTGGGCGGGTGCCCGACCCGCCCACCCCTAAAAAAATTGACAACTTGCTCCCTATAATTAGCCACTTACACCTCCTATCGTCAAGTTTTAGTGTTATTATTGAGAGAAGGCCACAAAGTTGAAAATTAAAATATTTTCCAAAGTAAAAATATAAAAAAATATTAAAATATATTTTTTTGTGAATTGAAATTCAATAATATTCTTTTAAAGAAAAAAGATTGTCCATTCTAGCGATCTAAATTGGTAGTTCCGAAGATCTTTGATCGTCCTATACTTTTTTTTTTTTTTTTTCAAAGGAAAATTTTTAAAAATAATATAAATCTATGTTATATTTTTTTAAAAAGTTTTTCTAAATATTTTTTTATTATTTCGAAATGTTAATGTATTTACTTATTTAGTATTTTATATAAAATGTCATTTGACCCACCCTTTATTAACTTTAACACAAAAAATAGATGGCCAAGGGGGTAAGTGACTAATTATGGGAGGCAATTGTTAGTCTATTATGTTAACGGGGGTGCAAAAAAATAACCTAACATAGACTTAATTGAAGTTATAAACTCAACCTTATAAACTTTCTCTTACAATCTCACGTACAAACTCGCAATTAGACATACGAGTTTTTAAGTTAACGAATTATGAACTGTTACATTAAATTATGAGAACAAATTTATGAGATTGGATGTGTAAATATATATTACCCTTATATTAACCAATAATTTTTTCTATTGGCGTGTGAAAGATTGAAATCTCGAAAGTCATTACAATTAACCCTCAGAAATTATTATCAAGGATAACATGATGAATCCCTTGGCGAGCGTGGGTTCCAATCAATGACTTATACTTTGAAATTTTGGGTCCTTTTTTACTAAATCTCATGAACTCTCCAATGGTACTAGTAAGTTTATTGGTCTAAGAAGGCACTCTCAAATCTCCATATGCATAATTTGTTTTATTTTCCACTTTCAATAATTTCAAAACAGTTTATTATTATATCTTACGACAACCTAGCATATTCTATTTTTGAAAAAGAAGTTTTAGAGTACATTTTATCTTATAATCTTGGAGATAGGCTTTTTATTATATTAAATAGTTCTACCACTTTAAACTACAATGACATGATTTGTGGACCTAATTTTTGTTAATTTAAATATCTTTTATTAGTATTTAAGATTAATTTTGTGATATTCTTAATTAATTGATTGTCTTCACATGCCACTTACGGAATTAGAAGATAAAAATTTATTATATAATACATTATAAATTTGCACAATTTTCTTTTAATATCCTTACATGTATATTTAAAACCTAATTATAATAATATTTATATTAATATTTTGATTATGTAGAGAATTTTTAAAATCATAATATAAGAATAAAGATAATATTGTCTAAGAACATTGGCTGCGTTTGGTTCAAAATTTGGGGGTTTTGGGAAATTTTTTTTGAAAAAAGTTAAAAAAAGTTGAATTGGGCGGGTATTACGAGGTAAAATTTATAAATTAATAAATCTCCTTTATGTTTGTTTTTTTTACAAAATACCCCCTATAATAAAACATTAAAAGTTAACAAAAATACCCCTAACCCCCCCTCAAACACCCCAGCCGGCGACCACCACCGGAGGTGGCCGGAGTCGCCGTTGGGCGCATGACCGGTTGGATCTTGCCGGTCATGCGTCGCTGTGGCCTTTTCCGGCCAGATCCACGGTGGATCTGGCCGGAAAAGGCCAGATCTACGGTCAGATTTGGCCGTCAACGGCCAGATCTGGCCGTATTTGCTCTCAACGATGGCCAACAAACGGTCATCGTTGATGGTCAACGACGACCGTTTGTTGGCCGTCGTGACCGAGTGTTACGGCCAAAGATCTGGCCGTCAACGGCCAGATCTTTGGCCTTAGATCTGGCCTTTTCCGGCCAGATCCACCGTGGATCTGGCCGGAAAAGGCTAGATCGGCGCACTGCCAGCCAGATTCAGCCGGTAGTGCGCCATTCTACCAGATTTCGGCCATTTTCCGGTGGTGGTGGTCGGAATCTGGTAAATGTGGATTATTGGGGTGTTTTTGTAATTTAAAAAAAATATTTAAGAGTATTTAATTAAATTATCAAATTTAAGGGGTTTAAAAAAAGTTGAATAATTTTTGGAGTAGTATTCTCAAAAATCTAAATTTTTGGGTATTTTACTATTTAACTTTTTTGGGAATACTAAAAGTAGTATTTCCAAATGTGAAACAAACGCAGTCATTACCTTTACGTATCATAAAAATAACATACGCCTGATTCAAATCCAATCATTTGAAATATGTTTATCTAATAATCTAAGTATAATATGACTACGATGAAATATATATATATATATATATATATATCTTTAATTAACATACTCCCAAATAATTCAAACCGGCATATATATAATAAAGTATTTGAATAAAATGATTTAAAATAACGTAACAATTGAACTGTACAGATACAATCATTACAATCTGAAAAATCAAACATAGATTTCTTAAAAGATGAATAAAAAGAAAGAATATATTTGACTAAACTCAACGCTAACTCTCTCTCTATTATCCTTCGAGTAAAATTCCACTTTTGTATCCAATCTTTTTACTCTCTAAAGAAAAAAAAAAAAAAAAAAAATGTCAGAGAGCTGTAACTCACGCCACTTCTCATGGCTCATGAAATCCTGCTTTCCCAATCCAAATGACAACAAATCCATCACTCCCCTTCACAAATCTAACCATTTCACCCTCTCCACCGCTGCCTTCACCACCACTATCTCCTCTCTCCCCGACGACCTTCTCTTAGAATGTCTTTCAAGAGTTCCCTCTTCTTCTTTGCCTTCACTGTCCCTCGTTTGCCGCCGCTGGTCCCTCCTCCTCCTCTCCCCTTCTTTCTTCAACCTCCGCCGTCACCGCAACCGCCTCCACTCCACTCTTTTTGCCGTTTTTCTCTCCGCTTCCATTCCCACTTCCACTCTCTCCACCGCCACTCTTTCTTTACCCGAACAACAACACTTGGGCACGTCATGGCAACGCGATTCTGATCTCAAAACCGATTCCATTTTCTTGGGAAACTCGAATTTACTTCATGGGTTCTTCTCCCAAGCACGGCTCGCTGCCATTGGACCCAAAATTTACATCATTGGCAAGAACGTCACACTTGTTTACGATACTTGGACTAAAACTATAACTCCAAGATCGCCCATGTCGTTTCCGAGGAAAAAGTTCGGTTGCGCTGTCGTTTTTGGGAAAATCTACGTTGCCGGCGGCTCTTCGCGAGCTGAACCCACTGTCGACGAGTACGATCCCGGTACGGACACTTGGCGCGTGGTAGTCCACGCGCCTCGACGCCGGTACGGGTGCTTGGGGGCTTCGGTGGACGGAGTTTTTTATGTGATTGGTGGATTGAAGATCTGCTGCGCTGCTACGGCTGGAACGGAGGCGCACGTGTACGCCAGCTCGATGGATTTGTATGATGTGAAGTCACGCGCGTGGTTGAGAAGCCGTACGGTGCCGGGCGGTGGCTGTGTGGTGGCGGCATGTGCGGCCATGGGACACGTTTATGTTCTCACCAGTCATGCAGTGGAACTCTCCTTGTGGAGATTCGACGCGCGTAGGAACACGGCCGGGTTCGGCGAGTGGAGTAGGATCAAGAGACCGCCGTTTCCGCCTCAAGTAAGGCTGGACAACACGGTGAAATTCAGCTGCGTCGGCGCCGGAGACAAAGTGGTTTTGGTTCAAGTGATTGGCTGTATCGATGACTTGTTACACGGAAGCGCGAGGAACACGAGGGGCTTGAGAGAAGGGCTTGTTTTGATATACGAGACGGTGGGGCAATGTTGGAGTAGGGGACCAGATCTGCCGGACGTGATACGACGCGCCGCTGTGGTGAATGTGGAATGGTGAAGGAGCGAAAGTTGCGAAGGGCCTGAGAAAAGGGGTTGTTTTGATATACGCGCCGCCGTGGTGAAGGTGGGGAAAGTTGTGGGGGATGGTGTAGTTTGGATAGGAGACAAAAATGATTGTAGTAACGTGATTATTACTGTAAGCGTAAGGAGAAAAGTGGTATTTGGAGGAGTTGATTGGGCGTTGGGTTTGTATTGAAATTATTGATTGTCTCATTTTATGGTTTTGCATGATGATATTTTATTCGACTTATGTCAAAACGATGCTTCTATGTTTAGTCCAATGTTTACATATATTTTATTGATATTTGTTCAGACCATGTGATTTTTGTTAAAGATGGCAATGGGCCGGTATTTCAGCATTTCTGGGTACCCGGCTTGCCTGAAAAGGATTGACTTTACTCTATGTTTGTGGGTTTGGGCTTGAACTTGGGATTGATTTTAAGGTTTATTCTCAAATATGGGTCGGCCATGAGTATGTCTTTAGTCCTGGCTTAGCCTAACCGAATTATTTTACTATTAATTTTATTAAATTATCTTTATATTATATATCTAATTATAAAACTATTCTACATATATATATAAAAAAAAATTGAAATTTATTAATATTTGGTGAGTATTAAAAAATAAATTAATATTTTAAAACTGTTTCTTGAATTAAAAATATAAAAAAAATTGAAATTTATTAATATTTAAAAATTCACATTATAAAAATGGATGGGTTTGAACTTACACTTTACCTGTCATCCTTGTGATAAGCGAGGTTGGACTCGGGCCTGGGCCAAGGGGTACCTGGTCCCGGCCAGCCCATTGCCATCTTTAAAATTTTATATTTGGGTTAATTGCATTTACCACTCTTGAGGATTAAAAAATTGAACCTTAGAGAGGTAGACATTGAGTTTTAAAAATTATAAATATATTGAAAATAATTTACAGAACCTCTCTCGTTTCTTGACCGAATTCGGCTAAATTCGAAGCAAAACTCTTGTTGTCATTTCGCAATCACTCTATAACACTCGTTTGTCCACAATTCACATGAAAATGAGATGAATTGTTTTGTCGCATCGTAAAGAAAACCTGATCGCTCTATGCCGCTATTGAATATTGATTACAGGATCTCGAAAACTGCTATAAGGCAGGTGGTGACCTGAAAGTACTCGAAACCGATAATTCACTCTTAGCATTCAAATATCATTTTGCAACCATTATTCAAGTACTCGAAACTGAATATTGAATATTTAAGTATGCAGCGTAAATAGAGAATAATAGAATGTACGTTCAAGCATTGTCCATTGTCTCATTTAAAGCACCTTGAAAGCTTCATTCACTGATCTTTAAAGAACTCTTAGCATTCAAATATCATTTTGCAACCATTATTCCAAAGTGAAAGAGAAACCGAGAGATTTGATTTAAAACCCTAGCTACTTTCACCTTTTCTCCATCAAATCTAAACACTCCTACAATAATTTATGGTAGTCTTCAACCAATCAGATTTTTATACGCAAGTAAATCATAATTGTCCATAACAACACAACTTTTAATGTGAAGGATTGTTGAATGTACGCATCATAAGCTTCAAAACCTACCTCCTACAATAATATATGGTCTTCAATCAATGACGCCAAATAAATAACCATCGATATCATTACTAGGTTGCTTAGGTCATAGAATTAATAATGTCACAACAAATATTTCTTTTTCATGCATAAACATAAGGTAGATTGTAAATCACCATCAAAACTGGCCAACAATTGTATCGACTACTCATGGAACCATATGGATTAAGCTCCTCTACTAAAATAGGAAGACATAATTTTTAGGGTTTAGTTGCAGTCTCAGGTCACATGTAGTTTATTAACTTCCATGATGGACTATTTGTTGAATAGCGTAAAAATGACCATCAATTCTCTTTAATTATTGGCATACCATCCCAAATTGTTTGTCATTTCAAAACGTCGAAAAATTCTTCTAAACCTCGAAATCAGTGAAAAGTACCATAAAATGTTCGTAGAATAGAAACCCTTATTTTTTTTCTTAGTTAAATTCTTAAAAACTATCCATTTTTGACACTTCACATGTAAGGCAAGAAGTTTCACCCTTATACTCTTTCTTGTACAGTATGCAAACATTTGGACATGTATGTATCTTTCAATACTTCATTAGCTTTAAGAAAATGATCAAATACAAATAATCATTCAAATTCTACTACAATAAGACAAGCATCTCAATCCATCTCCGAATTACATCTATTGTCCCTTTAAGAATGAGAGGCGAGATCATTACTATTAAATAACATTAACAATGATTATATATGATGAATTTTTTGGAACAATCATGTGTAGATTATTTTATGGATTTTGGCCTTTGTAGAGCAGCCATCCTTTTTCGGAGTCTAATCCCATGTAAACTATTTTATGGTTTTGATTTTTAATTTAATTTTAATGGTCTATAATAATGAATTCTCAATGTTATGTGGAATACCCTACTTATTAGATGCTATGATGATTATATATATGATACTATTACACATTGTCTTCATCGTCATCCTCTTTATACTCTCAAATAGCAACCTCTACATCCAAAACATAGTCATCCAATGTTGATTTCCAAACTTGATAATATAACATTAACCATAAGGGGGCGTTTGATTCAGGGAATATTAGATTACTGGGAATGTTGGATTATTAGAAAGTTAGATTACCTTGAAGGTTACTGTGAATCTTTAGAAAAATGTGTTTGGTTAATTGATTGGTATGTTATATTAATATGTTTGGTTGGGAGGAATAAATTGGTGGGTATGTTATTTAAATTACTGAATTGTCCTCTAATTAAATATTATTATTATATATTTTTTTTAATATCGATTATTATTTGGATTATATAACCCCCTTGCATTTAAAAACTTAGCAAAAACAACCCCATAATAAAAGTTTGGAAAATCAACAAAGCAGCCTTACCAACCCAACCACTGCTGGCTGTCGGCAACCACCGCAGGCAACCGGCAACCTAACGGCTCATGGAAGGTAGGAAATGGCTTCCGTGCACTGTATGGCCATTTTTGGCCAGAGATCTGACCGAAAATGGCTAGACGTGATGGCCAGATCCGTCACGATCTGGCAGTCAACGACCAGATTGATGGCCGTTGACGACCACAGACATGGCTGTTAATGGCCATTGATCTAGCCGTTGACTGCTAGATCGACGGATCTGGCCTTTGACGGCGGCTAGATCTAGCTATTTCTGGCCAGATATCTGGTCAAAAATGGTCATATCGGTGCACGACAGCCATTTTCGGCCTTCTATGCCCTGTTCTGGCGGCGATTTCTGGCCANATATAAATATATAAGAAAATTTTGGTTTTTTTATCTAAGTATCAAAAGTCTTATTAATTTTCATTAAAAGATCAGTTTTTCAAAATATTCTTATTAATATTTAAGTTTCACTTATTACTTGATTAAGGAATTAATATACATTAAGACATTTACGTTAAATAATAGCTTTTAAATATTTATTATCGGTGAAAACAAACAATTAAATACTTATAATCAAGCATCAAACATCAAGTAAATATAAACAAATATATTATTTAATGTTTTGCATTTAATTGTTAGGGGTGTAATATAATTTTATAAGGGTTTATTTGTTATTTTAAAAAAAGGGGGTAATTGATATTTTTCAGGGTACTCGGAATCTAAACGGAACCTGTGTTATAGGTTCCGGTTCCAAATTTTTAGGAACTGGAATCGATGGTTCCGGTTCTGGTTCCAAATCAAAGGAATCGATCAGTTCTAGTTCTGATTTCTTTGATTTTGGGCGGGTGCCCGGACCCGCCCACCCCTAAAAAAAATTGACAACTTGCTCCCTATAATTAGCCACTTACACCTCCTATCGTCAAGTTTTAGTGTTAATTAATTGAGAGAAGGGCACAAAGTTGAAAATTAAAATATTTTCCAAAGTAAAAATATAAAAAAATATTAAAATATATTTTTTGTGAATTGAAAATTCAATAATATTCTTTTTAAAGAAAAAAGATTGTCCATTCTAGCGATCTAAGATTGGTAGTTCCGAAGATCTTTGATCGTCCTATATCTTTTTTTTTTTTTTTTTCAAAGGAAAATATTTTAAAAAATAATATTAAATCTTATGTATATATTTTTTTAAAAAGTTTTTCTAAATATTTTTTTATTATTTCGAAATGTTTAATGTATTTACTTATTTAGTATTTTAATATAAAATGTCTATTTGACCCACCCTTTAATTAACTTTAACACAAAAAATAGATGGCCAAGGGGGTAAGTGACTAATTATGGGAGGCAATTGTTAGTTTTTTTTATTAACAGGGGTGTAAAAACTAACCTAACATAGACTTAATTGAAGTTATAACTCAACCTTATAAACTTTCTCTTACAATCTCAACGTACAAACTCGCAATTAGACATACGAGATTTATTAAGTTAACGAATTATGAACTGTTACATTAAAATTATGAGAACAAATTTATGAGATTGGATTGTAAATATAATATTACCCTTATATTAACCTAATAATTTTTTCTATTGGCGTGTGTGAAAGATTGAAATATCGGAAAAGTCTATACAATTGACCTCAGAAATTATTATCACGGACAACATGATGAATCCCTGGCGAGCGTGGGTTCCAATCAATGACTTTATACTTTGAAATTTTGGGTCCTTTTTTACTAAATCTCATGAACTCTCCAATGGTACTAGTAAGTTTATTGGGTCTAAGAAGGCACTCTCAAATCTCCATATGCAATAATATTGTTTTATTTTCCCACTTTCAATAATTTCAAAACAGTTTATTATTATATCTTACGACAACCTAGCATATTCATATTTTTGAAAAAGAAGTTTTAGAGTACATTTTATCTTATAATCTTGGAGATGAGGCTTTTTATTATATATTAAATAGTTCTACCACTTTAAACTACAATGACATTAGATTTGTGGACCTAATTTTTGTTAATTTAAATATCTTTTATTAGTAATTTTAAGATTAATTTTGTGATATTCTTAATTAATTGGATTGTCTTCACATGCCACTTACGGATATTAGAAGATAAAAATTTTATTATATTAATACATTATAAATTTGCACAATTTTCTTTTAATATCCTTAACATGTATATTTAAATAACCCTAATTATAATAATATTATTATATTAATATTTTGATTATGTAGGAGAATTTTTAAAATCATAATATATAAGATAAAAGATAATATTGTCTAAGAACATTGGCTGCGTTTGGTTCAAAATTTGGGGGTTTTTGGAAATTTTTTGAAAAAAG